GCGGCTGAAGTAGGTCTGCAGGTTGGGGCAGTCGCTGCTGCACTCGTAGCAGCGGCCCTGGAAGCTCCTGTCCTCGTAGAAAGTGATCTGCAAAGGAAAAGTAATTTGAATGAAATCATTTGTTCCCAAAGCACAAAGGCTTTGTTTCCTCTTTCTTTATTTTTCTTTAACTTGTGTTCTGCTTACCTTCCCCATGGCCGGTTGACACAGACCTTGCGAGCTCAGTACATTGGAAGCGGCCAGCCCCAGTAGGTCTATATAGCAGGAGGCCTGCTGCGTTGGCAGGAAAACACAAAAGGGGCCGGGGAGGGTGATAAGGGGATTTTATGGATCCCTTTTGCACGCTGCATTCAGGGGCAGTGATTAAAGATTTGCCCTCTTTCTCTGGTATATTCTAACGCTGTCCTGTATGTGCTGCTCTGTGTCGCTTTTATTTGGATTCTTACTGTTTTCTAAATTTATCAGCACACCAGTCTGAACTTCTGACCTAAAATTCATGTCTCCACACTATGATTCCATTATACCTCGTGAGTCTCCTGGGAAAAATCTGTGCCTTTGTGGAAGTATCTCCAGAATTCTGGGAGGTTTGAATTCTGAGAGAGAATTTTCCTGATATTTTTAGATAACAGAGGCTGGCCTATCTTAGTTTTTTTTTTTTTTTCTTCTTCTTCTTTACGTAAGTTGCCAGTTCAATGCAGGACACAAATCTAGATTCAGATCTCGTGACTGTTTCTGATTGTGTTGACCTTATGCTTTAAAACATAGTTATTAATGCCTAGTTTGGTGGGTGCACCCTATGTAACTCTATTAACTTGTTATAAGAAACAGAGCAAAGGTTTCTGTGGTCATGGGGCCCGAGACTGAGAGGCACATGACTTTATGGATGGCTTCCCCTTTTCCAAGGGCAGAGGAAGCTCTTCCCAGACAAGAGGGGACCTTTGGACTGGGGCTGTCCTGACTCAAGTCCACTGAACAGCAGCATGGCCTGGCCATGGCAAAGCGCAAACTTCTCAAAGCACAAACTACTTGGGAGAGAGAATATGAAGAATGAGGAAGAAAGCAAAAGAGGAGCAGGCCTGACATTTAGAAGCTGCAGCTAAGCCCTGCTTACTCTTCTATTAGACATGAACAATCCCATAAAGTGCCAACTTCTGGCAAGATTACTCTGAGACATGATAAAATGAGATGAAATAAGGCCACTTCACCATTTTGTCTAAACTCAAGCATAAATAAAGTTGATGTGTCACCCACAAAATAACAAACACCCCCTTCTCAGCTAAAATAATTAACTGCTACTTGTTTGTCAATTATAATTAGAATTAGAATTAGCCTCCTCTTTCCTGGGCAAGATTTGTAGAGATAACCAATCATAAAGTTAATCCTGCTTTATGATAATTTCTAATCAAGAGTGAAACCCCACTTTTTAGACCCTTCCCCAAATCACACAACCAAAGTACAAGTCCTAGATTAGGTTCCTTTCAACCTTTTCTCACAGAAAACATTCCAGTCTTCCCCAACATGTGAGTTCTCCCAGGACACAACCAGTCATAAGCCTAACTTGTTTAAAGACAGGCATATTCCTGGTGGGTTTTAGCTAAAGGACTTTGGCATGAGTAAATGGGATTAATTATGTGTATAATGTATGTGGCACATACCGGGCAAAAATGAGCTTTAGTAATCCTAGTGACATGGATACTGGTAATGAAGTGAGTGACAACATCAAGGATAACTTCAGCCTACTTATCTCTCTTAAAGATAAAGTATCTCAAGGATTCCTGAGACAGTTATTCTCTACAAAGTCTTTTTTTTGGGGGGGGGATAAAACACAAAGTTAGGTTTGGAAAGAATTTTAGTTTTTAAAAACTCTGTTATGCCTAAGAATCACCTTGTGCCAGGCACCATGGTGCATGCCTATAATCCTAGCTACTGGGAGGCTGAGACAGGAGGACTACAAGTTCAAAGCCAGCCTCAGCAAAAAGCCAGGTGCTAAATAACTAGACCCTGTTTGTAAATAAAATACAAAAATTTGGGCTGGGGATGTGGCTCAGGGGTAGAGTGCCCTGAGTTCAATCCCCAGTACCCATTCTCCCAAAAAGAATCACCTTGCTTGTTAAAAATGCAAATTACTACAAAGAAAAGAAAATGCAAATTACCAGTCCCAAGATTTGACATCATTAGATCAGAACAAGACCCCTATATTTTTAACCAGCATCAATTAGTTCTTGGACCAAATTCAAAAATACTCTTCTGTGATTTATTCCTTCATTTTTTGAGAAGGACGTCATGTGTTTTAGCCATCCCCAGGTAAGGCCTTATTAACATCTCTGCTAAGATTCTCTTTAAACCTGTAGACAGAAACATACTCTGCTTTGTAGCACTATTTCTTGTTCTTCATAATTTGGAGAACCAAAGCAAGGTTACCAGCACTTAAATCACACCCTGGTAAAACATGCAAATAACATCTCAAAATCATTTTGAAATTTGTCCTGACAAATTTGTATTCATGAATACTTTGAAAATGTCTTGGGAACTCCAAAGGTCCCCATACCACACTATGAGATCTACATTACCAACAGCCTGGCTTGGATGCTGTCCAGCATCTCAAGCCCAGGAAACACAGTGGGATGCTAGGATAGTTCTGCATTATGCTTTACCCTACTCAAATCGCTCCCCCCCAAGGGAGCAAGGGATTTAATGGTGAAGAAGAAAGAAGGGTATTTAGGGTCCTTATTCTATCTTGGTGATTTTTATCAGTCTCCAGATTCTGCCTAGTCTTGCCTCCTCTCTACAATGCACTCTGCTAAGATGCTGGGATGATGGGAATAGAAACACATCAAGTTACATGCTCATCTGTTCCAAATGCTTCCTGACTCCCGTTGCCTTCATGATCAAGTCCTGATTTCTTAACACCAGGCATGACCTCCTCTGTCTCTTGCCACACTGTCCGATCACGCTGAATTTCTTTAATCAAATCATTATTCTTAAAAATTATTCTTTAAAATTGGTTGTTCCTATTCCTAGTATCTAGGCAAAGAGAAAGTTGCTCTCCCCTTAATCCCAACATGAAGAGAAAGTCACATGGGGAATGACCTGGGGAAGAGATATACCCAAACCCACTCCTAATTCTACCCTTTACTCCTTTCTCTCCCTCCTCTCTCTAGTGCAAACGCTGGGACCTCAGAGAGTTGAATGGGAAGAGGAACTAAAATGAACCAAGAATTTGAGACAACCCCATTCATATCTAAGTTCAGCATTGGCAACCTTCCGTGTGTAGAATGACACACTCCATGCTTCATCTATCTAATGGGCTTTTATAATGGTGGAGAAGAGTAAGCAAAAGGAAAAAAACAAGAATGTTGTGTGGTCTCCAAAGCCCTCGACTCTGCAGTCATTTTAACTGTTTAATTGTTTTATCTTGTGAAATGACCAGTTAGTGTTGCAACAGCAGCAGCAATTCTCAGAGTTTTGCTTGTGTCTGAGGCCCAGATAGCAGTTGATGTTATCGTCTACCTTTCTGCTTCTTAGCAATTAATGTGGTGTTTGTATTAAATACATGCTTGCTTAAATAATCATAGATCATTTGGGTGGTGACCATGTAGATCAAAGTGTCCCAAACAAAGAGACTGGACAAGAGACTGGCCTCTGGTTCTCTTTCTCAGTTTATCTCTCATGACCATACAACCAGTGGCAAGAAGAGAGGAGTAATCACTGACCTGCCTTTGCTAGACTCCTATAGGATACCCCTTGGAACAAATTGACGATATATTTCTTCTTGTCTAAGCAATAGGTAGTTGTCTTTGTCACTTCTGCTCTGACGAACTCACAAAGAAGAAAATTTGAACTCCCAAGTTCCAAAGGGAAGAGAAAAAGAATACATACTAAAGTCAGGACCTAACCCCATAGTAGCAGGGTGGGAAGATTAGGGGAAAAGCTCATGATGAGACCCCTTTGGGGACATAACTCAGTATGGCAATATTTGGCACTCATTTATGTAGTAGCTTCCACTCTGGTTTCATTGTTTGGTGGACATTTTAGTAAGATTAAATGGGCAAAAAGATATTGCAGATTCAAAGGGCGAAAAGAGAAGGAAAAAAAAAGAAGAGAAAGTTTTAAGTCTGGACTTGGAAATACCTGTGTGTGTATGGGGGGCGGGCAGTATCTAGAGTGTACAGCATGTAGGTTGAACTGGGGTTGTCTCAAATTCTTGGTTCATTTTAGTTCCTCTTCCCATTCAACTCTCTGAGGTCCCAGCGTTTGCACTAGAGAGAGGAGGGAGAGAAAGGAGTAAAGGGTAGAATTAGGAGTGGGTTTGGGTATATCTCTTCCCCAGGTCATTCCCCATGTGACTTTCTCTTCATGTTGGGATTAAGGGGAGAGCAACTTTCTCTTTGCCTAGATACTAGGAATAGGAACAACCAATTTTAAAGAATAATTTTTAAGAATAATGATTTGATTAAAGAAATTCAAGAATTCTAATTTTTATGTATTTCCAGTTCAGGTGTATAATTTCCATTTCTAAAGTCTATGATTTTATGTCTTCTAAGCAAATACTATGAAATAAATAGATAAATAAATAAATAAATAAATAAAATAAACTTTTGGTTTTCTAATTCATGTTCCCTATATCACTGTTAGCAAATAGAGGACTCTGATTAATGTTTCCAGGAAACCAACACTACCTTTGGGAGTTTAAAGGTTAAAAAAGCTGGGCTTTAGGAATAGTTAATACAAAATAATCTGAGAATTGAACTACTTTTTTCTTCTTCTCCTTCTCCTTCTCCTTCTCCTTCTCCTTCTCCTTCTCCTTCTCCTTCTCCTTCTCCTTCTCCTTCTCCTTCTCCTTCTCCTTCTCCTTCTCCTTCTTCTTCTTCTTCTTCTTCTGCTGGGGATTGAATCCAGGGCTTCATATATGCCAAGAAAGTGCTACACCATCAACCCATATCCCCAGCCCCAAATCAAACTATTTTCCAGGAAAGAACCTTCACATGTAATATATGTATACAATAGGCTATCCATGAGTCCTGGTTTTCCCAGAACAATCTTAGTTTGTGCTTCTTGTCCAAGTGCGATTATTAATAATAGGTCAGAAGTGACCCAGTTTAAGACAAAGATTACATGTTCACTCTGTTTCTATGCCATGTGAGGTGGGATTTGAGTCAATTCATTAGAACCTCAAAGGATGGGATACTTTCAAAGAATTTTGACCTGAAGTCATCTGTTTCCTTGATGAACTTCACAAGAAACAGCCCCAAGAACCTTATTTATTCACACAAGATGTTTTTAGGGATGTTGTTTACTCAATATCCTCTTTACCAGGACTTACAAGAAAACTTCATTTTAGGTGTTGGTACT